TACTATTTTACGTTGTAACTCATTCCTCAGAGCAGAGGTGGCACTGCACAGGTAAATAAACTGAACTGACCCCTATAAATTTCAAGTTCTAATTGAAATTTGTGTGTTTCAGAAGATAGAAGGGCTCACGTAGTTATGGCTGTATCTTAGTACTGTTCTGATCCCTCTGTAAATGTTCTTGGACCAGCTGTAGTGGTGTATGGGCAGTCTTGTGGGAAGCTGCAGGCAGCTGCAGGGTGCCCTGGGCACTGCATAAAGGCCTCATGTAATCTGACATCTCAGCAGTGAGTTTCCATACATTATGCAGGGAGACTGAGTAATGAATTCCGAGCCAGCAGTGTCGCTCAAGACTTCCGAAATGAAAATGCTAATCACAGCTGTAAAGAGCATGAGTGGATTGAGGTTTTTCTTGTATGACTATTTGTAGGTAATTAGGATGAAGTCATGTGGGGAAACTCCTCCTTTATGTACAGCGCGTGCTGGAGAGAAGGTTCACGTTGTGAGCTGGGTTTCTACAAGCTCCTAAGAGAAAACCTTGATTGGGGGAAATATTTATTAGCATTTTTTTCTTTTCATCTGTAAATGTACCTGTGTGGCTACTCTATGCTCTTTGAGCTCTTGTATGATCTAATTTCACACTGCAGTCACTTAGTATAATGGAAAGGTCTTTCACCATCTCCCCCGCTCTACTCCCCATTCATAAATAAATGCATATCACAGATGCAGATCACAGGAATCCTTTCCAGCTCTTAACTCATCTTCCAGCTCAGCCAAAACCTTGAAATAAAAATTGCACTGAGTGTTTTGAAGTAAAGAACATCCAGGCTGTGCAGGTGGACAGTGGGAATGCCCACTGGAAATTCCTGCTCTCCTCACTTAAAATCAGGCTGTATGACCATTCCCTCTACCAACAGTCCAGATTAGCAGAGTCCTTGAGACAACTAGGTCCCAGGTGCGTGAGGGTTCTTAACATCAGTACCATGGGAATTCCCTGTATCACAGTAGCAAGTGATGCTAAGGTAAAATCCACTCAGTACTGGATTCCTGCAGTCTGTATTTGAAGTTTTATTTGCATACAGCCCCGTAAAAAGCATAGCAACAAGTGCCAAAGATGACAAAGATGAGTTGAGTGTAGTTGCATTCTTGCAGTTGGTAGATTGCAAAATGTGATCTTGCCAAGCTGCCAAGATCAACCCAGCATCAATCCAAGACTGAACAATACAATTAACCTACATTCCTGTGTCACAAACAAATAGGCATGCAGTCGGACAGTTAGAATCAGGAATGTGTATTGCCTTTTTACTGGTGCAGTATCTGTCTGCTGGGAGGCAACACCATTTCAAGCCCCGTAAAATCAAAATCACCAAACTTAGGTCAAGCATTTATTCTTTCCGTTTCTTTAGAAGAGTCACTTACCTGCTGCTGTTGTTTCCTGTCCATCAGGGCATAATGGTGGTAATATTTACTCACTTGCTTCAGAATTCTGTTTATGAAGACTTTTAATTTGGAAGTAATGTATCAGTATGAAATACCATATCATTTATTGTTTTTCTTATGCTGGAATTTCTCTGCTAGGACTTCAGAATGGTCCTTAAATAGGTGTGTTTCTGAAAATACCTATTTAGCAACTGAAAAGGGTCCTTTTTGTTTATATCTGTAACTTCTATGTTGTCTTTTGAGATGGGGAAGGGAGAGAGGATGATGAAATCTGTGGGGCACGTCTCAGCTCCCTGATGGCTCTGCTGAAGCATTTACCTTGACTTTTGTGTATGCTGCTACACTCTGTAGTAACTCACAAGCTTCTAGTCACACTGTCTGCAGGAGTCCTAGTTCATCTGACTGTGCAGGAGTAGACCATGATGAGCGATTTAGTAGCTTTATTGCATGAGTTTAGAGATAACAATTCAGTCCATATTCCCACATAAAAAAATCCACCACTGTGAAAGAGAGCAGTTTTGTCTGCTCACCAAGGCCTGCAAGTGTTTGATCTGCGTTGTTTGCTCTGTGAAAGATGCCTCTGAACGCTTAGCAAAAAGTTCAAAGCTGTTCTGCCAGTGTTTCCCAAGTGTGAAATAAGAGTATTTTCTTCTGCTCATCTTTTGCCTTTTTTATTAAATAATGAATCTGTCAGGGCCAGAATGGTCTGTTATAGGTATGCACAGAACTTAACACCCACGTGCGAATTCTGGCTTGGGCTTGTAGTGGCTGCTACAAGTAAAGCAACATTTAAAAGAGTGTGAGGGTTTTTATGGTCACTAGAGAATAAATAGATTGAGTGAAGTTAGAATTTCCCTAAAATGGACTTGAAGCTGGGAGGATACCAATCACAAGGTAACTAGAAAATGTGTACTGATTTGGTTACTATTAGAAAACAACAACAAAATTCACCTTTGGATTATTAGTAAAGTAATAGAAAACACTGGCATGATACTGTAGATTTAAAGTAATCAGTCATCCCTATCTCGGATACCATGCAAAGATCCTCTCATCTTAAAAAAGTCCATAAAAGTGGAAAGAGCTTGGAGAAGGGCAATAAAGATGATCCCAAAGACATGGAACAGCTGTCTTAAAAATAATAACTGAGTTGGCTGTGAGTTTTTGGTCTTGAAATGACCAAGAGGAGAAAAGATGTAAGTCTAAAACTATGCACAGTATGACAAAGATGGGTACCAATCAACCTGTCTGCTCCAGTACAAGAAGTAGGGCACATCAGACAAAGCTAATGGGAACAGTACTCAAACCAAACAAATGTTTGATGTGCTGGGCAGCAGGCCTGTGGAGGCCACCTTCCAGTTCATTGCCATGGAAGCTGCTGATGCTGAGAGCTAGGACAGGCTCAATGAGTGGGTAAGTCACATTGGGGAAAAGGAATAAAAATTACTATATACCAAAGTCACATCCGACTCGGGGAGTTCTCTGCAGTGGAAGCAGTAGCAGGTTGAAAGCTTACTGGCCTATAACAAACCTCCCGTTTTCACTCTTCCTTAGGCATTCCTTTAAACCAGGATTTGGGACAAGATTGACCCTTCTGCAAAGCCTGATGTGGTTCTGTAGTTATAAAGTACTGTACGTGCTACAGCCATCCCTACGATACCGCCAGCTGTTCAATTGCTATCTCAAAACCTTTCTAATTTATGTCCTGATGTCCTTCCAGTTAATGGGCACGAAACGTGGGTCTCTCTGGAGTGTGTGCCTGGGAAACAGTGTCTATCTAGGATTTCTCAGTCATCTGTAATTGTAATCTGAACTTTGTGGCCAGGGCAGTGCCTTGACTGGCAGCTTTCTGATGATTCAGTGAATGTCACTGGTGAAGTCACTTTTAGCCGCCTGACAACAAAGAACTTAGGCAGGACTGAAAGTTTCCTGTTCTTGATGTAGGGGCTCTCTTTGTGTCATATTGCATTACATGGTTGTGGTGCTCTGTCCTTCATTAGAATAACTTAATTTATAATACAAGGAATGTGAAAATTACAGGTCCATAACTACTGGAATCACCCTTGGGTTTTTCAGTTTGTGTTTTTTGCTTGTGGGTGTTCAGGTTTTGTGTGTGTGTGGTTTTGTTTGTTTGTTTCTTTGTTTAAGAGACGCTTCAGGATCTATTTTCCCACGTTCAAGGGGTATAGTTTTTAACAAGGGTAGCCTGCAGTGCTATAGATACATGCTACTTTGTTCTGGTGACTTACTGCCTTAAAATAATCTGTAAAAACCCATGCATCCTTTTTAGAAATGTTTTAATAGAAACCCTGTTTCCACCTGGGAAGCTGAAAGAGCAAAACAAGCAGACAGGATGTCATGTATGTGCAGAGTTCATTTCACCAGAGACCCAGTTGTGTCCCCTTAATTGCAAGGGTTATCATAAATGCAAAGCATCAGACGTTGTGGGTGTCCTTTGCTTTGGGCGTAGTGGGGCAGAATGCTGTAGGCGTAGGACACTTGCATGGGCCTGTCATGGAGAACTGAACTTCTGTTCCTGTTTGTTTCCAATGAAAAAACTAAAGCTTGTTCTCTGATACCTGTGGGCTTGCATTACTAGCGGTATGCCTGCTGGTTGCAGAAGTGCTGGCACAGCAATGGTAGGTTTTGTTCACCCAGCTGGGGGGAACTGCACCATGAATGATTTGGATGAAATCAAATGTATGCAGATTGTAAAATACCCCAAGCAGTTCTTTTAGAGACAACGTATGCTGGCATATAAGAACAGTTGTCTTGCTACTGGTCTGCTGATGGAAGATCTTTGACCTTACAGACCAGGACCAAACTGAAGACATTCTGTGTCATCAAGAATCTGGAAAACTTCTGTAAGGTTTTATACACAGGATTTTTATCAGGATGGCAATTGGAGAGAATTTCAAAATTATATCTGAATATGAGACATGTACCAAGTATTTTGGTATGTTACTAACTTGGGAAAACTAAAATGAAAACTGAATATTTTCGTATAACAGGTGAACCCTAGTTCCCTTCATAAACTGCTTAACCTGGACCACCTCTCCTCAGTTTTGTGATCCCTATGGCAGGTTTCCAGGGTCCGGCTACGGAAGGATGACATGGTCCCGCGGGGTCTGCGCTGCCCGGGTGACACCACAGGAGCGTGCTCAGCACGCCTCTGCCTCCTCGTGTGCTGATGGCGTGATTCCCCTGCTGGGCGCTGCCGGTGAGTAACGCTGCAGTGACTGCCCTGCACCCCATCACCCAGCCATGGCAGCACCCCTGCCTCTCCCGCCGAGGACAAGCCCAAAGGCGTCCCCCCGGCATTACGAAATGCAGAAACTCCCCTTCCCCGCTACCCCTGGCGTTCGGGGCCGGGAGAAACGTGCGGAACAAGCAAAGATGCCCCAGCAGCGCCCAGAAACCGCTGCCGAATGGTGGGGCACGAACGGGCGGGCGGCGCAGGCCCCTCTCCGCACCAGGCACAGCGCCGCGCACCGCTGCCGGGGTTAGCGCGCCGGCTCCTTCCCGCCGCAGGGAGTCGCTCTGCCCCACAGCGCCCCCGCCGCCATTTCGCCCTTCGCGCCGCCCGCCGCCCTCAGCGGGCGCTGTGGCGCCGGCGCGGAGCCCATAAAAGGCCGCGACAGCCCTGGCCGCGTGTTCATGTGTGCCGGTGCGTGTCAGTCAGTCCGCCCGCCCGCGGCATGCTGGCGCTAAGCGCTGCCCGCCGCCTGCTTCGCCCGTCCGGGAGCCTGCTGCTGCCGTCGGGACTCGCCTGCATGTGTGCGGCCGGTGCCCGTGGCTGCGCCACGGCCGCCGCCGGCTCGGCGAACCCGGTGGTGTACATGGACGTGTCCGCTGACAACCAGCCGCTGGGACGCGTAGTGCTAGAGGTAGGAGAGCGGGGGCTGCCGGCAGCTCAGCCGCGGTCTGGGGCCGATGCCCGGGGAGCCGAGGGCGGTGGGACACCTGGGCATGGCGGACGGTGAGGGCAAGGTCAGGGCAGGCCAACGGGGCGGTGGCTACGAGGCTAACAGCGCCGGCTCCTGAGCCGGGGGAAGGTGATGGCCGCCGCCGGTGTGGGCCTCAAGGGTCCGGGGGGTCGCGGTCCCCCGGGGCTGCTGGATCCGCTTCCAGGGCGGAGATGGTGCAGAAGTGGCTCCCTCCCAGGTGGGAAGCCGGCAGGGGCTGGAAGAGAGCGGCATAGAGTGTTTGGCTTCGATTTGCTGCGGTAGCTCTCTCCTGTGTCCATAGCTGGGGTCACCCCTGCGGGACGGGTCTGAGGGGTCTGGTGCTCGGGGCGGCTGCGGCTCCTGAGCTGAGGGGCGGATTGGGCCATGCCATGGCAGGGAGCCTCAGCAGCAGAAGTCCTGGAGGCATGGTGTGAAAGCAGAAACGCTGAACAAGGATAAGCTCACTACCGCAGGTAGCGCTGGGTGGACAGGGGCAGGCGCGGTTCCCGCAGTGACAGCGCACCCGAAGCCCTAGCGCGGCTCTGGGTTTTGCGCTGCAAGTGTGGAGCCAGGCCCTCGCCTGGTTGCTCCGGGGGCATGGTGCCATAGCGGTCCTCGGCCACAATTCCAGCTCCGTCCTGCTTTCCCCCTTTTCCGGGCCAGTTACTGTGTGGTTCTCAGTTTTCAGTGTTCTGAGGTACTGCTGCTGTGCGTACCCTGAAGGGTTTGCACAGCTCTGTTTGAACTGGCAGCCGGCTCAGCAGCCAGATAGCAACCAGCTCTGTCGTTAAACATTCGGCCTGTGAAATAATTGGGCCTTTAAAGAAGGCTTGAACATACAAACTGCAGCACACTCTGCTCTTACAAAAGCACCGAAACTTTAATTGTGGTGTACCACATATCCTTAGGGCTGGGCACGTGCCTCTGAATGAACGTGTTGTGCATGGGGAGGAATGAGGGCTGTGCTCCAGAACCACGCACTAGATGGGGAATGCTGCGCTTCCAAATTGCTCCTTACTGAGGGAATTGGTTGTGGCCTTCTGCCTCCAGCACCCACTCTGGGTCTGTGTCAATAGATGTTTTAAACATAGTTCATAAGGGTTCTCTCTGAAAGGGGCTCCCCTGAGGCCAGAGCCCAATTTATTTTTCTTCATTGAAAGTGTCAGCATATAAATTAATTGGATACTAGCAGCTGTCCTGTTCTCAGAGGTAGCACTTGAAGGAGACAAAGGTAAAAGTATTGCTGTGCAAGTTTCTTATTCGTCAATGAGATTTGGTAAATAGCTCGATTGTATTAGAAAAAATAGCATTGATGTTACTGTATTGCTTGTTGCAGTATTTAATTTCCGTGTTTAAAGATTTTTTGTTTGCCCAATTTACAGAAAATCAGAATGCATTGAAGCACCAAAGCCTTCAATATTTGGCAAAGTTGTGCTTAGATTCAGCTGCAAATTACAGGCATCCAAGGAGAGTATCCTGGGGAAGGAACATTGATTCTTGCCACAGCCATACTGTTTCTAGGAGGCTGCTGCTGGTTACTGTCAGGATGTGTGACTAGAGAAAACTTTGGTCTGATGTGGTATGGCCACGGTTGTATCAATTATAGTGTTCTACAGGTTTAAGATTGTTAAAAAGATGCATACTAATCAAAATCAGATTTCTTTGTTGGTAACAAAAGTGTATGTATGTGTATGGTATATGATAGACAGTTTCTGCTCTTCTTTTTCCTTTGCTTTTCTGCAGATTTCTACAGGTGACCTTCTGCTGGGGAGACTCTCCAGTTGTATCCAAACTGGCTATGATCCAGTCCCTGGAGTTCCATTGTTAAAGATTCTTCTTCGTTATTGCTAAATTGTTCTGTGATCCATGAAGTCATTAGGCACTGCTCAAGTTGCTCTTTGTTAACCAGCCAAAAGCTGCATTGAGGACATACTTTTAATTACTAGCAATGTCTTAAGCTGTTATTGGAATTCTGAGTGGCTTGTGATTTCAGTTAGCTTATCACACTGGGAAGAAGGCTTAGTTGTATCAGCCTCCCATGCAGAAGATTTCTATATATGTATGACAAAGCTGACTTACTAATTTGTCTTTCTTCAACAGCTGAAAGCTGATGTGGTTCCAAAGACAGCAGGTAAGGCAGCACCTCCAGAATTTCATACTTAAATATTTAAGATTTAGATTGTGATTTGCAGGAACAAGAATATTCCTTTACCTTTTGGAAACTATTCCCATGTTCCATCCCCATTTGTTAAGTAGAGAAGTATGGTGTGAAGTTTGTCATAACAGTGCTAGTGAGGAGTTATTTCTTGTTGTTCCAAGTAGTTTCATTCTGTAATTTGCACCAAGATGGTGCAGTCCGTATGTTGGATTGCCAGTGGTGAATATGTTTAAAAGCACATTAGTTTGCATTGAAATCAAATCAAATCGGAAAGGGTAAACCAAAGGGATGGTGTCTTTTGGCGATTTGAAAGCGTGTATAGGGTTTAGTCACTACCTGATTAGCGCACCCATGTTACAACATTTTTGTGTTTTATCACGTGCTTCCTTCCACATCTGCTTATTTAGTGGGTCTGAAAAACTTGTACTTTTCTTTCAGTTCCTGTTAGATTAATATCCTTAAAAACCACTCCAACAGCAAACCAAACCAAACCAACCAACCAAAACCCCATCATCCTCACAGTTACTGTAGCAAATACAGGCATAAAAGTCATAAAATGAAACCTTTGACTCCAGAGTGGTGGGTTTGGGAGCAGGGTGTGTGTGTGGAGTTAAGATGTAACAGCAAAATAAAATGGAGATGGAAAAGGATGGTGTTAGTACCCTGTACTGAGGCCAAACAAGTTTTGTTTTCTCAGCGTTATAACAGAGTTGGCTTTTAAAGAATGGAAACAACTAATAATACCACCTTAAAGATATTGTAAAAACCTATGCAGTGTATAAACTTGGGACATAGTGAATCTAGGTGTGTTTGATTATATTATGTATCATATATGGCAAAATAATATTTTATGCTTTGTTTTCACAGAAAACTTTAGAGCTCTTTGTACTGGTGAAAAAGGATTTGGGTATAAAGGATCCACTTTTCACAGAGTGATTCCTTCATTTATGTGCCAGGTAATGCTTTTTGTTTCCTTTGCTATTAAATTTATCTGCATGTTATTTATATATTCTTAGAACCAGTCAGATTAGTAATGTTCTAAGTGGCTCTGCTCTAACCTTTGCTAACTACAGAATAAAGAACTGGCAGAGTGCCTTACATCTCTGATTTTTTTTTTTTTTTTTGCTATGGCTGCTGCTTAGCACATCTTTTGTATGAATGAATAAGTTATGTGTAGACTGTTTTAAAAAGACTGTCTTAAGTCTTTCTTCTTTTGTATAGCAGTGTACTTTAGTGTAGGGAGTGCTTAGCAAAATGACACTTCCTTGGAGGAAGTGTTTGTGGGTAGAATGACAATCAACCTTATGTTCTGAGTGAGCTAAGAAAACACCATGTCCTTTATTTATTCCTAGTAGAATAGTCTGTCCACAACAGAAAATGTATTTTTTTAGAAAAATACTATTTTTTTTCCTGAACATCTCCCTAATGTGGAGGGGAGGAGAGAACCAAAAGGGTTAGTTGGGGTCAGTCTTTGGGATGAGACACTGGAAATGGATTTTGTTTTGATTTAAACAATAAATTTGTAAAAAAAAAAAAAAAGTGAGGTGAAGGTTGTATTAAACTGCTTTATTTATTATCACAACTGTGATGGTTGGTCCTCCTGAAATTTTTTATCGTTAAGTGAAGAACACAGCTGTCAGAACAAGAGGCCATAATTTTATGACCTATTTCTAAGAAGAGAAGGGGGGCAAGTGTGCTGTAAAGTACCTCTTTTCTTGCTGTTGACATGGAAAGTAAGATTTTGTGATGCTGACAAAGGGACAAAGTTTAGAAGTCCAGCTGGGGTCAGAAATACATAAATATAAGAAAAATAGAAATCCTACTGTAATGCTGCCACTAATTTGTGAAGTTCTGTGTAAGTCTGTTCTTACCTGCCTTTTTTGTCCCCATAAAAAACCCCACAAAATGGGGATACTCCATGGCTGACTCCATGATACGGTGATAAGATGAATTGATATTTAGGAATTACTTGGAAGTCATTACTGAAGTGGAAATACAGTCATAGGTTTCAAATCTTTTAAAGTGAGAGGGGACAGTAGAGGCCTTTCCACATGTTGAAGTAGAGTGTTAATATGATTCAGGCAATTGGCATAGCCTAATTGAGGTCATCATACCTGGGACTTGACAATTCAGATGCCTCCACATGGCATGCAGCCTATAGAGCATACCTCTGGGCCTGTGTAAGAGTAGCTGTAGCACCACCTGTAATAGATTACTCAAGGTGGGAATGGGAGGATGAACATGATACGAAATACTTGTTAGGTGTGAGTTCTTTGTAATGTCTGTTCTGGGAGAGGAAATTGCAGATTGCTGGGAGCAGTGTTTAGTAGCCACTCTTGCAAGTTGTTGGGGATTTTTGTTTGAGTTTTGTGTGTTCTAACCCAAGGCAGATGGTCACATCTATTTCAGCAAGCAGAATGTAGCTGAGGGAAGTCTAAAATAGCTGCAGTGTAACACAAACAACAAGACTTAGAAGTAGCAAACAGTAATATTGAGATCCAGACCAGTGTTAATACCTGTTGGAAGAGAGAGAGGAAGAGAGGAAAGTTTTGATGTCTTGCCTATGGTGGTGATTTTGGGTGATTTTGTTTTGAGGCATTTGAGGTGTTTCTGAAAATTATTACTACCATTTATTGCATCATATTTGGGAGCGAGGCTGGCAACACAGAAAGGTAGCTGTCGCAGTTATGGATGTCAGTTGGAGAATATCAGCGATATCTGGAGGAGAAATTTATTTTTAGCTTGATTGTACCTTCATCTGGTTACACGGGTTTAAATCCTCACGTGACCATACTCATTCTTAACCTGAAGACAATTTCCTCATTTTATTTATTTTAAATTGGAGTGAGTATACTTTCAATAGCATGATTTCTGATGTAAAGTAATGCTTGTGTGCTATTAAGGTTAATAGCAATTTCTGTTTCAGGGTGGTGACTTCACAAATCATAATGGAACTGGTGGAAAATCCATTTACGGCAGTAGATTTCCAGATGAAAATTTCATACTTAAGCACATAGGACCTGGTAAACAAACATACTTTTTCTACCTTCTGCTGACTATCACCAATAATGAGACATTTTTTATGAAGATGTATTAAAACAAAAAAAAAAAAAAAAAGATGGGAGGGACACTTGCTAGTTAGGGAAATATCCAGAAGTTTAACAATGGAAAATTAAAATTGTCCCTGGCCTGAGCTTATTTGTGCAGACTTAGACTGACAAAGTAGGACTGACACTGTAAGTCAGCCTATAACAGGTGACATTGCCACTCTTGCTCTTGCTGTAAAAGGGACTGCAGAATACGGTATTTTTATGTTTTTTTGCATTTGACTTACAAGTTCTGCAAAGGTGAAATTACTGCTTTTATTGTCCTCTTTCATAGCATAAAGTCATAGACTTCGCTTCTCCAGTAATCATCTAAGTAAACATTGAAACAAAGTAATCTGGGATTTCTTATTTACTAACATAGGCACATCCTTTTAAGGTCAAATACAGAAAAAGTAAAGGAAAAGCTGTACATAAGGACACTGATTCAATTCTATAGTCTCTCTTTTTGGATTATTACTTTCTTCTCACAGTAAGCTACTGCTGCTGTTGAACCACAGTAGAGGTTAGCTGATGTTAATCACATTTCTGAATGTGTACAAGGGAGTGTATTACTGATGTTCTTGCTGTGGAAAGAAGGGAGGCTGGGCTGGAGGGAATAGTCAAAGGCAAGTCAGTGTGGGCCATCCCATCTTCTGTCTGTCCATCTTAATCCAAATGTGCGGAGGAAAATTGTCTTCTCCACTGTGTACTTGTTATGCCAAACTAATTAGGTGCTACTGCTTCTGTTCTAGGTGTTCTTTCAATGGCCAATGCAGGACCCAATACAAATGGATCTCAGTTCTTCATCTGCACTGCAAAAACTGACTGGTAGGTTCTCAGCACTGCATATTAACCAGATGAATTGATGCCTGGATCTGGAGCATTTGGTTTTCTTAAGGTTGTGTTTGTTTGTGGTTTGATTGGGTTTTTTCTTCCTTGGTTGATTTGGTGGGTTTTGGTTGGGGTTTTTTTGTATGTGTTTGTTTGAGGTTGGTTTGTTTGTTAGGTTTTTAATTTCCAAATTACTTATCTTACAATGGAAAATAAATGGTTATGTGCTACTTGAGGGAGGAGAGTCTGTGGGGGTGACAAAGCAGTTGTCCCTCAGAATGCTTCTAAGTCCAGAGCTTAAAGTATTTCACTTGTAGAGCAGCGGTGCCTTTGCCATAAACTTGGTCAGCATGTGAGAGCTACGAAGATCTGCTGACATTCATTCACTGAGCTTGGTTTGATTCAGTCTTTATGATATTTTAAGTAAAACTCCCTTTGTGTGTTTGTTTTACAGGCTAGATGGAAAACATGTTGTTTTTGGGTATGTAAAGGAAGGAATGGATGTCGTGAAAAAAATTGAGAGCTTTGGTTCCAAGAGTGGAAAAACCTCCAAAAAGATTGTCATTACTGACTGTGGCCAGCTGTCCTAGCCTTTTGCCTCACCATTCATGAAAACTTCGATGCTGTGAAAAATGAATCATAAAAACATTTCTGATCCCATGAATAGCACCTGTGGAACCACATTTTCCATGTAACTTGGTCCAACTTTTATATTTATGTTGAATAATATTGATTAAAAACAGTAATTGAAACTTGTTTTAAATGAGCTGATGTGGTAGTCACTCTGCCACACTGATCTGATAGAATCCCATTGTGTTTCGAAAGAAGTAGCATGGTCATCTGAATGCAGTGTTGATACTGGCCTGAGCTTTTGAATGTTTCAGGTGTTAGGACTGGTGGTGGAGTTGCAACTAAGTGTTCTGTAGTCAGGGCTTAGATAGAATAGAGAAATAGCACATTGGTGCTCATAAAAACCTATTGTTCGTCTCATTTTAAAAAAATACTAACTAGTGCTCTCAGGGCTGTCAGGTGTTTTCTTTCTGTGTCTCAATTGGAGTCTATGCAATAGAGTTAATGTGTGATTGTGAGGTTTTAAAAATTTAATTCTGTTTTAATAATCTTATTTTTTGTAGTCTCAGGCCACTGTTTAAACCTGAATTCTATCTTACCTGCTCCAGTGGAGCAGTGTGACTTTTGGGTTAAATAAATTGCGATAGGTTGAGTTAGCCTACTACTTGGGCTCTGCCTGGGCAGTAAAACCACAAATTAGCCAAAAGATCTTGGGACTTTTTTATTATGCAACTGTGAACTTACTTGAAGTGCGGTTCTGCTCTGAGATCTGGGTCTGTAAGAAATACAGCACGGTTCTCAATAGATAGTCTATTTTTGCATTTTGAGAATGTAATCAGAGTTTAGTGAGCTTGCTTGAGTGAGAAAGGTTTCATTGCATTTTTTGTCCTGGTGGTCCTGCAAAGTCAGCCCACATGGGGTGTTACTGGGGTTGTGATTTCTTCTCACACATCATCATAAGTCAAAATTGGTCACCACAGAATCGCAAAGCTTCGCTGTGCAGCAAAATCATTATCGAGGTTGATGCACGAGAAGGAAAGAATTCAGCTGATCAGATAAACACATTTCATTTGTATGAACTGCTGTGTTTTATGTGGCGTGCTTGAGCAGTAACAAATGTTGGAAACTCACAACATTGCATTTGGAATCACTAAGGCTGTAAAGTATTCATGCTTGTGGGAGAAAAGACTGGTTTTGTGCAGTAATCTTGATGCTGAAGAGAAAAATAAAATGTGATGGCTCTTTTCAAATGTGAATTTACTTCCATTGCATTCTGATAGTATGTGGGTTTAAAACTATTTTGTACTGGATTTGTTTTCTACTGAGAGCTGCATTCTTGTGTGTACAAGGTAGTATTCAGAGTGTAATTTTGCAGAAAAGGGAATTGAAAAGCTTTTTATTCTTTCCACTATAGATGCTTCACCTTTTTTTGTAGCATTTTAAAAATATGAATTTGGGTTGGTTTGGCTTATTTCATTTTGATACAATAATGAAGGGGGGGTTGTGCTCTCTTAATTTGCAAATGAAAAATAATTAAATACAGTACCACAAAAAAAAGTTTTTTGTTTTCTTGAAAGCAGGAGTGTGAGGAGCTGAAACCTGTTGTGTTTACTTGGGCTGCTCTATTCTGTCTGTTAATGGATCTGATGCAGTAGTAGCAGAAGCCATGCTGTTACTTGGAGGGAAACCCAGCAAGAAACGTGGTACTGGTGCCATGCTTTGCCTCTTGCTAGTGAATCTAAAATAGCTGGTGTATAAATAGCAATTTGGGTTTTGAAACTTGTCGGATTATTTCATCTGATTGCAGAGATAGTGAGGAAAATGTAAATTTACTGGGTAGGGTTTTTAATTTCTGAATTCCTTTTTTGAAAAGTTGGTAGTTGCAGCTTTTTGCTGGACAACTGAGAAAAGTTCCTTCCTTGATGGGTGATCAGAGATGACGTTAAGAATTTATCATCTTCCTGTATTTGTAGGCCAGGAAATGCAGTGGAAAATACTTTGCCACAAACCAGTCCATTTGAGCAGAACTGTGTTAAGCCTTAAATAAGTGATAGTATTGTGCATGTTAAGATGATGGCTTGCAGTCTTGACTAGAAGATAAATATTAAGCTATGCAGAATAACTGATGAATAACACTGGTTGCCCTGCCTTGATGGGACTGGCTTTGGTTTCCAGATACCAGTCTCTGTACACTTTTCTCTGCCAGAAGAAGTCCTTTGCTGTGCAGTACTTAACAGCAGTGTAATATGGGTCTTAATGTTTTGAGAAACTTAAACAGATCACTCTCTTAAAGCTTCCTTCTGTAAAGTGTCCTCCTCAAAACGGATTTTTCTGTTGTTCTGTTCTTCCTGCTTTTTAGAATCATAGAATAGTTAGGGTTGGAAAGGACCTGAAGATCATCCAGTTCCAACCCCCCTGCCATGGGCAGGGACACCTCAGACTAAACCATATCACCCAAGGCTTCGTCCAGCCTATCCTTGAACACTGCCAGGGATGGAGCATTCACAACCTTCCTGGGCAACCCATTCCAGTGCCTCACCACCCTCACAGTAAAGAATTTCCTCCTTATATCCAATCTAAACTTCCCCTGTTTAAGTTTTAACCCATTACCCCTTGTCCTGTCACTACAGTCCCTAATGAAGAGTCCTTCCCCAGCATCCCTATATGCCCCCTTCAGATACTGGAAGGCTGCTATGAGGTCTCCACACAGCCTTCTCTTCTCCAGGCTGAACAGCCCCAACTTTCTCAGCCTATCTTCATACAGGAGGTGCTCCAGTCCCCTGATCATTCTCGTGGCCCTCCTCTGGACTTGTTCCAACAGTTCCATGTCCTTTTTATGTTGAGGACACCAGAACTGTACACAATACTCCAGGTGAGGTCTCACAAAAGCAGAGCAGAGGAGCAGGATCACCTTCGACCTGCTGGTCACGTTCCTTTTGATGCAGCCCAGGATATGGTTGGCTTTCTGGTCTGTGAGCACACACTGAAGCCGGCTCATGTTAAGTTTCTCAGAGACCAACACCCCCAAGTCCTCCGCAGGGCTGCTCTGAATCTCTTCTTTTTCAACCCCCTTTCCCTTTATTCATAAAGAAAACACAGAGAACTCTATTTCAGTATGTCTTGCACGCTGCAGCATTGCAAGAGCATTCCTACACTGAAAATACATGACTGCAACTTGTACTAGGTGCATCCAAGGTAATATTAAGAGCTGGTTGTGGCACCACAGGACACCACAGCAAGAGCTGCATGGACCTCAGCATGCTGGATGGTGGGTTCTAGACCTCTGTGATCCTGTGGCAGTCACTCTTGGGTAGCTTACCCACTTCTGTACATAGTCCAAAGTCAGGACTGCAGTCCGTGGTACGTACACAGAAAATGGCCTTTGCTAGTCATTCTAGTAGTTTTCTACAGGATTTTAAATGCCTGTCACTCTACGGTTGGCTGTTTTGTATCACAAACAGCTTCTAGGAGAAGAGGGTTCACCTTTTACAGCCTTGCTTGATGGTTTTGTCATGTCCAAGATGATAGGCTGGAACAGGACGTGTTGGGCAGTGCCACTCCTTGTTCATGACTTGCTTACTCTGGGTTTTTATACATCTTCCTAGCAAAATTACTATAGTAAACTCAGCCTCACAGCACTGTCATGTACTGAAAAGGGTTGTGACCTCTAAAGTTAGCCTGCTTCAACTGTGATAAACTGTTCCACATTATTTTTTTAAATGCATTTAGATGTTAAATCCCAATAGGCTAGATGGAAATGCTTTCCCTGTCCTGCTGGTAAAAAGCCTTTATCTTAAAGTAGTTCAGAACGTGGTTCATTTTAAAGCAGGCAAGTGATCCAGAGTACCTAGCGTTATTGATGTATGTATTAAAAATGTGGAAATTGCTGCCATACAAGTTGAAATAGTGTGATTCACCCTGTGATTTGTTACTTTGGTGCTGCCTCTATCATAGAAGAGGGCAGAGCTACAAGACTGGTGTTTGGCTGAGGTGTCCTGAAGTGCTGGGGAGTCCCTGCTTTTGGTGTAGCAGAGGATTAGGTCAAGTTTTTGCTTTTCTATTGTAAGAAATATATGTCCCCAACAAATGATCGCTGTGGAAATCATTATTTCCTCCCACCCCCCCTCGCGTGTTATACTGTAGTTGTCCTATTTGGTTTGACCCTTGGCTATTGTCACTGGTCATTAACTGCGCTGTGGATCGAGTGCTCGGTAGCGAGTCAAACAAATTACAGATCCCGGCCTGCAGTTGTCCCTGGCGGATCACAGACGTTGGTGAACCGCTCCCTCCGGATCCTCTCTGAGGAACTCCCAGGGACGCCTAATGCTCCCCAGCCTGGGGTTGGCCTGGTGGAGACCCGCTGTTGTCCCGCTCCCCGCGAGGTGGCACCACACGATTGCACATCGCGTTTTCGGTCAGCGCCTCGTCCCCGATAACCACCGTGGAGGAACCGGAGATCGCCGAACACCGCTAAACTCAGGTGAGGAGCAGGCAGAATTACACCAGTGTTGATAACGAGCTGTCCTGTGGCTTCCTTTCAGCTACACTACACTGAAAGGAGATGAGCTGCAGTTAATTACTCCTGAGGTACCAGAAGCTGCACTTGCACATCTTGCTGGGTGTAAACACTGCGACCCTTGAGGGGCTGCTTCAGTAATGGCTTTCACAACTGCACATTGCCGTGATCTGTGGCTTACTGAGGCGCAAAAGATGTTAAGATGGAGCACATGGAGTTTTTTGGGGGACTACCACTCAGAAACCTTGCACATCTCTAACAGGTATTCACTGTGGGGCTGTGGTTCTGAGACCCCCTGAGGGTGGCAGGTGTGCTACCAGAGGTTCTCATCCAGCTGATTAGGGTAACAGTTTGCCCTCTGGAAGAGGTTGGCACATCCAGGCTGCCTTGGGGGTGAGGTGTGGGCCTGAGAGGAAAGCAGCCTGCAGAGTGAGCTCTGCAGTCACTACCACTGATGTGCCTCCAGACGCAGCACAAGAGAACACGCTCAAAGGGCACCATTAGGTAAAGTGCAAATAAATGTACACAGAAAAAAAAAGAGTTTATACTTAAAATTTGTTTTAACAAACTCACAAATGTTTTTGTTTAGTCTCATGTTTGAATTATTTGTTCCAGACTTTCTGCTTCCATAAATCACTTTCTTTGGTGTTAGACTGAGCACTGTCTCCTTGTTTATAAAGTTTAAATGCTTTGAAGTCGAGACATTTGCGGTATAAAGTGTTGTTCTCTTTTGTAATGCATATACTCTTCTGGTAGCAATATATCAACAATCGGAACCTCAAAGAAGTGAATTATTTGGAGTACGAATCATTTTATGTGACATTTCAAAGGCAATCTGGATGTCCTGCTGCTAGCTGAGAATCTGTAATTGGACGGACACTTTCTACCCAAGTTAGAAGTAACCAGGACATAGACTTTCAAGTGGAAAACTTTTAATCTCAAACTGCAGATTTTTGTATTGAGTCTGACTCTATTTGTGTGAACTGGCTGGTCATAAGTGAATTTTGGCCTACAATCTTTATGGCCCAAACCTTGTTGCCCCATCAAACTGAAAACTGAACCTTAACAATTCTCATAGAGTCATTTATTTTGGAAAAGACCTTTAAGGTTATCAGGTCCAACCCTTAACCTAGCACTGCTGTCCTCCACTAAACTATGGCTCTTAGCTGCCATGTCTGCATGTCTTTTAAATACCTTCAGGGATAGTAACTCCACCACTTCCCTGGGCAGCTGGGTCCAATTCTTGACAAACCTTTTGGTGAAGATTTTTTTCCTAAGATCCAGTCTAAGCCTCCCCAGTAGTAACTTGATGCCATTTCCTCTTGTCCTATGGCTTGTTACTTGGGAGAAGAGACTGACATCCACCTCACTACAACCTCCTTTCAGGTAGTTGTAAAGAGTGATAAGGTCCCCCCTGAGCCTCGTCCTCTCCAGACTAAACAACCCCCGTTCCCTCAGCCACTCCTCATAAGACTTGTGCTCTAGACTCTTCAGCTTTATTGCCCTTCTTTGTCCTGAACCTTGAGGATCCTTTTCCAGTTATCAGCCCTCTGATTTTCCCACTACAGCCCTAGTAAAGCCTTTTCTGTATTCTCCTCCCTCCATGTGGTCCCTATGTCTGCTGGGACATGCTGCATGGGATGCTGCAGCCAACCAGAGCCTGTATCCTACATTAGCTGTGTGTGAACTGCCAGATGGTGGAGAGAAAAGAGCTGTAGCAATGTGAAAGCGTAAGTACTTCTCC